TTGTCTATCCCGAATTTCATACCGATAGCATGCGTGTACTCTTCCACCACCCTCAAGGACTGATGGAGATCCTTCTCTCCAGAGGCATAAAGTATAAGATCATCCATATGAAACAGATGGGTGACCTTGTACCTCCGGTTTCCGGGGGTGCCACAGTTATACCCTCGAGTATTTCTGAGCGCAACGGATAATGGCAATAGTGAGATGCAGAAGAGAAGGGGATTGAGGGAATCACTCTGAAAAACACCCCTTCTGAAAGTGACCCACTCTGTTTGGACTCTTGCTTGACCAGATGTTATGCTGAAGCGAGTTCGCGAAAGTGGTATCAGTTGAAATCAGTTGAAATAAACATTATTATTATTATTATTAATTTCGGAATTATCTCAACATGTGCATTCCCCGACAGGCTATGTATCAGAACGAAAGAGATTGGAAACAATGCGAGATTATTATTGCAACTGAATGCTCTCATCGTTAGCAAATATAGTGGGTAGAACCATACAGAAAAGAGAGCTCTTACTATATTTGACAAGTTGTATATATTTTGATTACCTAGCAAGAACAATTGGTGGGGTGCAAACCTGTTCTGAATGTTATATGGAGGCTGAAACAATCATATTTTATTTATGAGCGTTAGTATTCTTCACAGAGCTATAACAGCATGGATTGCGTAACCTGATAACTCCGAAAGTAAAGAGGTCTACACACCTGAAGAACTTTTACTGCTCGAGGCCGGATGACAGATACTCCCTGCCAAGCGCCTATTGCCAACCTGGTCAGAATTTTCATTTTATGGTGGAAGCAAGTTTCAGATGAGTGAGCTGGAATTACACAGGCTGCTTTTCGAATGCTTAGAACACTGTTCCGAACCAGAAAACTATACACACCTCAACAACTTTTGACGCTTTATAAAGCTCAGATCTTCTTTGGAATATTTTCTCATGTATGGAGCTCTGCCCCCAACACCCTGAAGTTGCTGGATTTCATTCAGAAAAGAACCATCTGTCTGATTGGAGACGATAACATCACGTGTAACCTTGATAGCCTGGAACATCGAAGAAAGATTGGAGATTTGTCTCTCTTCCATAGATACTTTCACGGGAGATGTTCAAGTGACTTGGCACATTTGATTCCACCAAGAGCGGTACATATAAGAAATACGCGACGGACTGTGGCTGCTCATCATTTTGAAGTTCAACTCAGTACACCTCGAACTGCGTGCATGTGGAATAAACTTCCTGAGAACGTCTTTCCAAATAGATTTAATCTCCACCGATTCAAATCCAATGTGAATCGCTACTTTATCACAGGCACCGCTCAGAGAACACCTTATGGATTTTCTTGTAGTGCTTGTGTATTTTCCTCAAAAAAAAATTTGGCGTAATTTACAGCATTCATCAGTGAGTCGTCGAGTTTTACCTATTCAGTATTACGGGAACCACTTTACTTCTGCAGCTATATGAAGATAAGCCAAAACATGTGGTTTTTGTCTGAATTTTACCTTTCTCTGAAATGTGATTACGTCTGCCTAATCCACAGATTTGGAGAAGCTTGTTATTTCTATTGACAGGGTTAATAGGCTTGTTTCATGTTAATAGTTCACTTGATAGAAATTTCAAATTGAAAAACAGTGCACTTTGTTTCATCTCTCTAAGTACCGTAGTTTTCTCATAATTAATTATTAAAAATCGAATGTGGTAGGGTGATGACGTCACGCCCTTCTTCCCGCTTCTTATTCGATTGACCAATAGGAACAATAGAAATAATCAACATTGCCAAATCGTAAAATTTACGAAGCCTCTAATTATCAATTTAATTATGGAAGTGTATATGAACCCGTTGACGTTTCAATTAATGAAAAAAATATACAGTTATGAAAATCAAAAAATATAGCAAACAGTACAATCCTCAATCTGTACAACTGCAATTCATTATATAAAAAAAACGATTTCTACATACATACCTCTTTCTAATATAGCTACTAAATTCAAGCGTTATAGGTTCGCTTGGGTAATCTGTTGAATCTTCCAAAACTTGAGAGGAACGTTGAATCAGGTCAAGTATAGACAGAATTAATTGTACTCGAACTGATCCAACAAAAGCTTCTGAGGTAATAATACCATTAATCATATGATAAAATTTGCCATATTGTCATCCAGTCAGCCAGCGCCCTCTGTAGTGTATGCGAGAATGTGCTCTTTCTAATGTCAATGGTTTCCACAAACTTTGTATTTTTGTTAAAATAATTTCAAAATGAATGTTGAGGCCTAGTTTTGTTAAAGCTGACTTCCGACAACTCACCAAGAGTCGATGAATTTTACTTGAAAAATTTGGAATACTTCAGTACCGAAATGAAGAATGAAAAATTGAAACGGTAGGTGGTATATTTAGTAGATCCCCTTTATTTATATGATATTCATCTCAGACTTTGCTTTTATCGAAGGATGAAAAGTTTTGATTTAATTTTTATTTCATCTCGGCCAAGGAGCAGTATGTTGACTGAAATGAGAAGCAAAAATATGTAGAATTACTCTAGAACATATCAATCCAAAAATAACTTGAAAAAATATTTTTCGAAATGTAAACTTATGTCACGGAATATGCAGCAAAATAGGTACCCGCCGAGACCTACCTTTTACAAAAAACGTTCTGTAATTATATAATTGTGACAGTTGTATTCACACCGACTTGACAACAATAAAAACAAAAATGGCGTCTGTCGAATTTGATCATCAGATCTGTGATTGGATATTAAAAACCAATATACTTGGCAACTCCGCTACAGACACGATCAATTTCATTGGTCAACAGACACGCGGCCAATTTGAATTCTTGCTTTTCGAATTATTCTTTTTTCTGCAACTATAAAGAGATTTTGGGACCGATTAAGCTTGATAAGTATGATATACCCCTAACTCGATCAGTCTATAAGCAAACCAGTATCATTTTCCAAAGCATGAAACAAGCCCATTGTCAGGAAGGACGCATACTCTTCACTAGACTGAAGTTAAAATTCAATTAGAGGTTAACTTTAGCAAAACAGTTCTGTGAAACTGCTTATAGTTCGTCATCCTTATACTCGTAATCGAGTCGGGAATTGTAACTACTAAACCTCAAGTGACACGAACAAATCAATCTTTGCTGATCTGTATTAATTTTTTGAAATCATTACTTATGTCTGCAAAAATTTATAAAAATCGAGTGGTGGCCAAGGTCACTAAATATGTGATTTTTGGAAACCTCAAAATTTTGAAATTTTTCTCCGCCTTACGATAACACTTCATTTCACCTTTTCGTCTTCAGTTCTCAATTATGTTTCAGTGTTTAGTAAACATTGATTTAAAAAATAATGTATGATAGACTATTTTCTTTTTGACTTTGAAATTCTTGACGATCCAATTTCAATTTGTCAGCTGTAATGTTTGTTTAAATTGATAATTTGAACAAGGTTGCATATTTTGGTATTAAACAAAAAACAATTGCATATCTAATTGACCCTCTTTAGAAAGTATTACATGAATCAGTTGTTTATGTGATACTAGTGAAGACAGTAAAAATAATAATGGTGAGTAGATTCAGATTATCTCATTTTAGTATAATAATTTTTTTCATATTTGTTCGCTACCAGTTGGAACATTTTCTTTATTAACTTTTAATTATTCTTGTATGGAACGTATAAATTTCATAACTTGGTTGATAATATTGAAAATGTTCATTCCATCATTTGATAAAAATGAATCCATTATTGATATCTTTCAGCAAATCTGCAACAGTTTGATTGTTCTCATACAAATGGTTGCTCTTATTGATGCAGTACATTCTAGTTTCATCCCAGAAGCGCATCCGAATGAAAAAAATCTTGAAGAATATTTGGGTGATTCAGTAAAACGCTTAGAGTCAAAAACTCTACAAGAAAAAACATTAAAAGGAGTTAAACCTGACATTGAAAAAACAGGTGATAAAAAATATGTTATAACTCCTATTCCCAAAAAGAAGAAAACTATGAGTGAAGATGACGATTTATCCGATCCTTATTTAGTGAAATGTCTGAAACAAGAGTCACCAATAGAAGAGATAGAAAAGGACATGGGAAACCCAGAAACTGTCAGAGCATTTTTAACTTGTGAAGATGCCAAAGCAAATAAAACAAAAAATATGTCTTCAGAGAACATCGAGGAGGAGAAAGCACGGCTCGGTGTAATGCCACCAGAAGAAATTGCTCCCTCAGAATCAGATATGACTGTAACTGAAGACGGGACTAGCAAAGTACTGATAGTACGGATTGAACCTGAAAAAAAGAAAACGGTTGACATATCCGATATTTCAGTGAAAACAATTGAAGAGAAGCAAACATTGAGAGAAAGGGGTGGTCTAGATAATTCAGATGATACAATTAAACGTCTGGAACAGGGAGTTAAATCTCCAGATACTGACAAAGTGAACGAAGAATCGATAAAAAATAAAAATGTATTCGGGGACATTTCTTTGGTGGAACCAGAAAAGAAGAGACCACTCAAGGGACCCAAAGAGGAAAAAATGATAAGTGAAGATTATGATTCATCCGATCCCTATTTAGTGAAATGTTTGAAACAAGAATCACCAATAGTAGGGACAGAAAATGGAATGGGAAACCCATCAACTTGTGAAGAAGTCATCTCGGTGTTGGAGTACACCGAGATGAAAAAAGCACGCAATGGTGTAATGCCACCAGAAGAAATTGCTCCATCAAATTCAGATATGACTGTAACTGAAAACGGTACCAGCAAAGTACTTATAACACGTATTGAACCTGACAATAAGAAAACAGTTGAAATATCAGATATTTCACTGAAACCACTAGAAGAGAAGAAAACATCGAGAAAGAGGGATGCTGTAGATGATTCAAGAGGTAATATGCCCTTGAAGTACACCGAGGAGAAAAAAGCACGCGACGGTGTAATACCACCAGAAGAAATTGCTCTATCAAATTCAGGTATGCCTGTGACTGAAAACGGGACCAGCAAAGTACTTATAACACGTATCGAACCTGACAATAAGAAAACAGTTGAAATATCCGATATTTCACTGAAACCACTAGAAGAGAAGAAAACATTGAGAAAAAGGGATGCTGTAGATGATTCAAGAGGTAATATGCCCTTGAAGTACACCGAGGAGAAAAAAGCACGCGACGGTGTAATACCACCAGAAGAAATTGCTCCATCTAATTCAGATATGACTGTGACTGAAAACGGGACCAGCAAAGTACTTATAACACGTATCGAACCTGACAATAAGAAAACAGTTGAAATATCCGATATTTCACTGAAACCACTAGAAGAGAAGAAAACATTGAGAAAAAGGGATGCTGTAGATAATTCAGATGATACAGTGAAACGCCTGGAACAGGGAGAGCCAAACAACCTTCTGGCAAAGGTTTTGGGCATACCAATATCATCGACAACGGAAACTGCGGTTGTTGAGATAGCAAATAACACAGAAATGAAGCCGGGTCTTGAATCAGAACGAACAGTTACCAATCAACAACTACTCAGTAATACAACTTCCAGTACATTGGACAAACCAACCATAGAAGTGTTTCGAATGGAAAGTACGACGATCAATTCGAAAAGTGGCAACAACTCTGACGCTGATTCCAGAGTAAAAATACAAGGAACTAACCAACTACCAACAGACTCTCCAAAATTTCAAATACAAGTAGATACAACCATATCAACGAAAGAACCTGGAACATTTGAAGAAAGAACTCAGATGGAAGTAACACAAACCGAAAAACCAACCCTCTTTGGAAGAATGAAGCACAACCGCCACAGAAAGTTACACTCGGAGGAGAACGAGGAAGACAAACCAGTCGGTTCCGTCCCTTGCACTTGCGGAGTGTTCTTGAGCGGGCAGTTTAAGAAAGGGTCGAAGCAGCAACCGAAGGGGTTGCCGGTTTTAACGCAGGAAATGGACAACCCTTTCATGAATAATGCAATGGGCAGTCGACAGTGCACGAACAAGTGCTTGGAGTTGGTGAGAACTTTTATTTGTTGTTATTTATTTTTGTTGTCGGGTCAGGTTGAGGTCAAGGGCGGGTTATAATAGTGAAGGGATTTGATGTTTAGAGGTGAATTGCCAGTAAACGACATTGGAAATATATTTTCAACATCTGCAATATTATAACCAGTAATATTATAATTCAGGGATGAATATTTGTTCGCCGTTTTAATAAGTGAAATTGATTGGAATATAATATACAGGCCGTTTTTTTTAGCTGATACCACTATTGCTATCTCGGAAACGGTAGGTCGTATAAGGATGGTTAAATGGAACAAAAGTTACCTATTTAGGGATGAAACACAATGGTATTTTCAGATTCATAAAATCATCAACGGTTTCTTAGATATTTGCAAAAAACTGAAAATGACAGATTTTATTTTTTTGCTCTACCGCCTCCATTTTCAATGATATCAAAAAATGACAAGAAACTTTTTGATTGATTTCATGTGCTTTATAATCTGGGTGCAACGTTTCGTTCATTGAATTCCATCATCAATATATTTTTTTAAATACGGACCTGTATATTATTTTATACATTTTCATAGTCATTATAATTACAAATTCTTTGATATATAACAACATCTATATTCACCGACGTTTCTTCCCGAAACCACATCATCACTATCATTTTTTTATTGAGGTCGAATTTCCGAATGTTACTGAAATCCAGAGTTCTCCTGTCGATAATGTCATTCATTGAGATTATAAATATTTGTATTCACTGAAATCCAATTGAATTTCTGTCAGGGTCGTCTAGAAGAAGAGAGACCAATAATCTTTGTATCAATACCATGCCATTCATAATTTCCAAATGTGAATGTGAATGTGAATGAATGTAAATGTCAAGTTAATTGTCACACACAAAATAAAAGTTATTCAAATCGTTGAGCGATTTTAAGGGAGAAACATGAATTTTTCCAATGACGAAAAAGTGGATATGCTTTTTGTATATTCGAGATGTTTGAGGAATGCTACGAAATCTCTGGCAATGTATCAGGAATTGTTTCCTGAACGAAGACAACCTAATCATAGATATTTTCAACGAGTTGAAAATACTTTACGGAATTATGGATTTTTTGAAAAAGCCTCCGAAAGAATGGTACGGTTACTGAATGTGGTGGCGATAATGGAATCGGCGTTTTAAGTGAGTTCAAAGAAGATTCATAATGATGATAAAGTGTCATTAATTTGATTTAGGATTTATGGAAAATAAAAAAAATGAGAACAAGGAAATATCTCTGAGGGAGATTGCTCTTAATTCGGCCACATCCACTACTACAGTTTAATCTTCCTCTTGAAGAGGTTCACTTGGTGATCGAAACACGTGTCGAGGTGTTGAAAATAACGATTTGGTGTTGGGAAAAAACTCCAGTAATATTCATATCCACTACGTCTATATGGAAAATTCTGAAGAGAAATTAATTCAAGCCTTATCGAGTCAGAAAAGTTCATTTGCGTTTAACAGGAGAAAAGTTTTTTGTAGATGGATCATTAGAAAATTTCGCCAAGATAATGAAACTTGTAAAAAAAATTGTGGTGTGATGAAAGTACATTTACCAATAACGGATGGTTCAACAGGAATATACATTATCATTGGCGACAAGAAAATAAATATTTACATAGAGTTACCAATTTTCAAGGGAGATATGGTGTTAACGTATGGCTTGGTGTTCTTGAATACTAAATGATTTATTAGAAGATTTGCCACTCAGCCTCATAAGAAAATATGAGTATTTCCAACACGACGGAGCTCCACCACATCGCAGGAGAATCTGCAGAGATTTCCTCAATACAACTATGCCAAGAAGGTGGATAGGAAATAATGGTCCTATCGAATGGCTACCACGTTCAACGGACCTTTCTCTTCTAGATTTTTCGTTGTGGATTTTTCGTTTTGAAAATATTGAAGACTCGAAAGATTCAATACGGAGTGCCTGCATCGCTATCACTCCACATATGTTAGAGAACTGCCACAAGCACACTATTTCTAGAGCAAGAATTTGTTTAAGAAATGATGGAAGACAATTTGAATATTTGATGCGATATCGCGTGAGACGGTAACTTGAAAAATGTAACGTGATACATTCCGTTATGGTGTTAATTTTCTATCATTTATTATTTCGTTATATTTTTTTTCGCAACTGTCTTTTTTTCAATGTGATGTATTAACGATACTGTTACCTATGTATTACAACAATAGTTTGATATTTGATTTCTCATTGAATAAAAAAGTTAAATGATAGAATATTGATGATGTGGTTTCGGAAAGAAACGTCGGAAAATAGATATGTTGTGTTATGTCAACGAATTTGTAATTATAATGACTACGAAAATGTATAAAAAATTATGCAGGTCCGTATTTAAAAAAAGTATATTGATGATGGAATTCATTGAACAAAACGTTGCATTGAAAAATGAGTTCAGCCAGATTATAAGGCACATGAAATAAAGCAAAATTGTTTTTGTCATATTTTGATGTTATTGAAAATGGAGGCGGTAGAGCAAAAAAATAAAATCTGTCATTTTCAGTTTTCTGCAAATATCTCAGAAACCGTTGATGATTTTATAGATCTGAAAATACCAGTGTGTTGCATCCCTAAATAGGCAACTTTTGTTCCATTCAACCGTCCTTATAGGATCTACCGTTTCTGAGATAGCAATTGTGGTATCAGTTTTAAAATACGGCCTGTATTGTGATAAAAATTGCGGTAGAATAAAATATGTGGAGAGTCACTATTTCATATCAGATTTGCCACTTTTCGTAACTCAAATATTATTTTCAACATATTTACGCACTTGAATATATTTTCATCAATACATGCAAACATGTTTCTCCTGTATCTAATCCAATATTTATATATGTCATTAATCATTTCAAATATCAATGATTTCTGGTAAATTCTTTCTATATTCTCCGATTCTCTAAAATTTATATGTTCATATTTTTCGAATGCAAATTCTTTTATGCAAATTATAAACAAAAATTTCTTTCTGTCTGAACTTTCACTTATTTCGCATATGTTCATTCAGCTAACATACAATACTTTCCTTAACGTTTCGGAGGCTTCAGAATTGAAAATAATTTAAATTCATTCGCAGTGTTTTGCTGATTCTCTTCATTTCTCAAATTCTTCGACAAATTTTTCACAAATAGTCAGCGGCAAACTTGATTGGCTATAAATCAAATAATCTAAAGGAACAATTCGTTCAGGCCATTCTCAACTCCCTACACGTAGGTTAATGGACTGACACCTATCAGAAAACAACTACTCCCCTGGCTAATACCACGAAGGGCAATGGATTATATCCAACAGGTGTCAGTGCAGGATTCTTCACTGAAATTGTTCCTGCATATGCTGTTGGCAATACAACTGCCGCAATAGATTTTCAATTATTGGAACACACTTGCAGACCGGTTTCTGGCTGTTCTCGTCAGTGCAAGGTAGTGTCTATCATCAACATAAAGTCGATAATTGAAAATCGAATTCCTTCAGAGTATCATTCCTCGAACTAGGCTGAAGCGGACAATAAACAACATGTTTGCCATTGCCCCATCTGCCTTTGAACGAGATAACTAACCGCATATCCGAAATTCCTCGTATACGGAAAAAAAACTTTTCACATATAATCAGTGGGCACATATAATCCCCTGGCTAATACCACGAAGGGCGTTGGATTATATCCTGGCCTGAACGAATATATGTAGTACACGGTGTTCTTTGATATCAGTATGTTGCACTTCTCTCTAGATATGAGAATATACGTTGATTATTTAAGTTTACGTCTCTTAGAGAGGGGTTCATTCGCAATCATTTTCGTCTTGTTTCTTTCAACTCGATGTTCACCGTCTGACTTCAAAATGTGTTCTGACAATTTTGATTGCTTAACTGCCTATTTCTGATGTGATCTCGATCTATTTTTCGCACTCCCTTTTAATGGTCTCTAAGTTTCACAAATATACAATTAGGTATATGATATTATTTCCCATGAGGTATCTTCACAATAATATACTTACTTGTTCATTCCAGAGGTAAAATTATTTTGGTATTTTTTTTGTGCATTGAAAAATATAAAAACTATCGCATGATGTTCAAGCAGTGTATGATCGTTTTTTTGTTCACTTTCGAAAGAAGAAGAAACAAAAGAAAATAAAAAACGTAAAAAAGAGAAAGGAAACATATTTAAATTTTTTGGTAAATTTCAAGCTGAACTTGGGTTAAATATAAAAAATATATTCTTCGTTCTATATTCGAAAATTACGTTTTGCTAACCATCATCAGGAGATAACTAAAACTGAATCTTCTAGCTCAGTTAGTTCCTTTTATACATATACTCGTGATGGGAGAGTAAAATTACTTACTATGGACCTGAATCCGCTACGTGGACTGTATTTACCATTTTCGACACAAAAAAATGCAAGTAGAGAGAGGATTTATTTCTAAATGGCATATCTCTAAATATAATGCTTACGTAAGAAATATTAAATAAGGAAAAGCTATCATTCCTGGATGCACTAGTTATAGGAAACGTCGATAAGAGTTTAGAATTTGATGAAAGCCTCCAAGACGAATGATAGCACTTTCAGATATATTTCTTATAACTCCCACCATTGTCCACATTGAATATTGGCAAAGCTATCTTTTCTAGTCCATAGACTCAACATGTTCCCTTTAAGCAAAGAAAGTACGACATCGAGAAAAAAACTCGTCAAGAAATTAGCTGGGGGTATCGAGTATCCTCAAACATAGTTCATAGGTTGATGAGAAAACAAAAATTCAGATAGAAAATATTCGAATTTTCAGGAAGACAGCTTATTTTTCTATATACCAATTTTTTTACCGAATGAATCATTTTCTTTAATGACAAAACACAAGCACGTGATGTTCGCGTCTCCAATTAGGCGGATGGCTCTATTCTAGATGGCATCCAGCAACTTCAGGGAATATTTGGGGGCAGAGCTCCATACATGAGAA